GTTGCCCAGGGAGGCTGTGGCTGCCCCAACCCTGGCAGTGTTCACAGCCAGGTTGGCTAAAGCCTTGAGCAACCTGCTCTGGTGGGAGATGTCCCTACCCAGGGCAGGGGGTTGGGGCTGGATCATCTCTAAGCTCCATTCCAACCCCTTAACATACTGTGATTCTATAAGGATAATGAATACTAAAGGGCTGAAATCTGAAGATAGATTTTGACTGAGGTAAAGAGAATAGAAACTGGAAGGAAAATTAAGAAGAAAAAGGAGATTTTTCCAGCTGTTAGTCCTGTTGGCTTTCCAGGAGGAACCAGCAGGAAACTGCCTGTGCACAGAGGAGCTCTGTGGAGAGCTGACCTGCTCCAGCCTTCTCCTCTCTGCCAGCTGGAGGGATGCCCCAGGCAGAGAGTGAGCAGCAGGGACAAGATGTCTTATCTATTGGAGTGAAGTGAGACACTCTTTAGGTCCTCTGGGCTGTATCTGAGCTGGGCAGTGCAGAGTTAGGCATCTGCAAGAAGCTTATTTGGCCCTTTTGTTCCCTTCCTCTACCACACCTGGGACCTCTTGTTCCCTTCCTCTACCAGACCTGGGATCTCTTATTCCCTTCCTCCCCAGACCTCTAACTGCATAGAAACCCTCCTGAACTTCATTTTTTCTGCTACTTCAGGTTGCACTGTTGAATTTTCCTTGGAGGAATATCAACCTGACCTAACTGCATCCAGCTAGGAGAGTGATCCTTTGCCATTGCCATTCCAGGAGTCTCATTTCCAGTAATGGAAAAAATCTGTCCAAAGTAGCCTGAATTGCCCTGGCCTGGCTGTGCTCACTGCTGGAGGCAGCAGGTGTGATTGTTTGGTGACCAGTTATTCTCTGGATTAATTTTTCTCTGAAGCCTGTGAGAGTTAGGACTGGTCAGCCTGGAGAAGAGAAGATGTCAGGGAAACCTTTGAGCCCCTTCCAGTGGTTAGAGAGGCTCCAAGAGAGTTGCAGAAGGACTTGTGACAAGGGCATGGAGGGACAGGACACGAGAATGGCTTCCCAATGCCAGAGGGCAGGGATAGGTGGGATATTGGGTAGGAATTCCTCCCTGTGAGGTGCTGAGACACTGGCACAGGTTGCCCAGAGAAGCTATGACTGCTCCATCCCTGGGAGTGCTCCAGGCCAGGTTGGACGAGGCTTGGGGCAACCTGGGCTAGGGGAAGGTGTCCCTGCCCATGGAGTGTTCATCAGAGGAGGCTGAGGGTGATCTGAGCATTTGGGGTAATATTGAATCATCTCAAGTAGTTTTCTTGCAAGCTATATCCACTTAAGAGTGGATATGCAGCCTATAGGGGAAAACACAGTGTTAACATGTTTTCCAGGCACTCTTGAATTGGTAGTTTTTTAATCTGAGTGTTCACTCTGCTGAAAAAGCCTCTGCTAAATCCACTTCTTCCAAGTTAACATGCTCTGTGTGTCATGATTGGGACAGAGAACAGCATCTGGGGCAAAACCCAACATGATAAATCAGCTCCATAAGTGTCTTTGATCTGGAGTAATTGCTGTGCTCTAAGTCCAGTGCTCTAAGTCTAGCCCAGCCCATGGTTGGTGTTAGTCAGCATTGAGGACTCTAAAACAGGGTTGAAAATGTAATTAATTCCTTCTCAAGCAATGAGCCCATAAACACGAGGCACCTTCCTTAGCAAGTCAGGGCAAGAGCAGGTGCTGGGAAGGATCTGGGAAGAGGTGAAGCTTGTGCTGGAGCTGTGTTTGGGGAACAGGAAGGTGAAGTTTAAGGGTAGGACTGATTTCCTGTACACTTCCCTAAGATGTGAGTGTCATAGCTGCCCAAGAAGAGAAGCCACCGATCCATCAGTAGGAGATAACAACTCAGGGCAATCATCTCCCTGAACTGAGACCCCAATGTGGGGCTCATTGCCCCTGTTGGGTCTCTCATTGGCACCCACCTCTCTCAGGGATAGTGTAGGGAGATGTGTCTAAGGATTTCAGCCCTGACTTTGGGCCATCTCAGGTGAAGTGTCTGAAGAACAGAGAGTTTTTAGCCACTTTTATAAAGTCTATCTGCTCATGATGTGTCCTGGGCTGTTACCATACTATTTGACTCTGCTGAATTAAGCTAAGTCACCTTACACTCCATGTCTCTATTAATGTGAGGAATCTAAAGGGTATTAGGAATGAATTAGGAATGGTTCATTCTCAGAGGACTTTGTGCTGAACACAACCATCTCTTCTGCTGGCTCTTCACTGCTGCCCCTCAAGCTGAAGTTGGGCCATTGTGCAGCTAAAATCTCAGTCCTGTTTTGGCACTGTTCTTCCCTGTTTTGCTGGGTTAACCCTTCAGCCCCATCCCTGCACCCTCCCCCTGCACAGGGCAGGATCAAAGCACAGAGCTTTGGGCATTTGATCCTAGTAAAACCAAGAGCAAGGCACTGCACCCTAAGAGACACAAGATGCTTCTTTTCTCATTGTAAATGGTGTGCATCAATTTGCTTCACTTTCAAAGGTCCATCCTTATTTTCTTTAGCAGTATCCCACTCATCTTCTAGTCCATCTCTTGGTGATGCTTGTTGCAGTGCAATCAGAGTATTTCCTTAATGATTGTCTCATTAATAGCTCATTTACTGGGCAGGGTGGTGTTGATATGTGCCATCCACAGTGGTTGTCAGAGGGATTCCCCTTCAGACACAGCCAATTCCCACCCCTCCAGTGTGAAATACATATGTGCCATAGAAATTGGATTTGCACTATTGTTTGCTGACAAAAAGCAGGAAATGAAACAAAAAGCATTTCAGGAAAAGACTAGGTTTGCTTCCTCCTCACCTGCTTCGGTTAGAAATGACACTGAAGCTTATTGCAGCTCCAGAGTAGATTTTATGCAGAAAAACTTTGCTTGTTCTGTGCCAGTGACTGTATGTGCTGCATCAGGCAGTGCTTTGGAGTCACTCAGCTTTCCTGCAGAGCCTGTTTGGAAGGGAAATATAATTAGAAAACTTTTAACCCCCTAAATGTTTGCAGGAGATTCGAAGGAATTCAAGTTTGAAGCCATTTGAATACAGTTTTCCAAACTAACTCTGTGTCAAATTCCTGTCTTTGGTCTCTGCCCCAGAGCCAGGTTATATGTGCATTAAACTGAGCCCCTGAGGTTTGACTGAGTACAATTTGTGTTTACATTGCCCTGAAAATTAATGTCTGGTGAACGGGAGATATTCAATTAGTTACTCCAAATTCTTTCGGGGCAAAATATTTACTGTTCTCCTCCCCAGAATGAGCAGCACTTAATTCCTTCAATGCAAAAGCTAAAGTCATTTACTTTCTGTTTGTTTTTCTTTTGGCTGTAATTACAGAGATGTGGGAAATACTTTTCCAAGGCTTTTGAACTCCAAAGTGGAACAGAAGGAAGACACAGGGGGACATCATACACCGTTCAGTGTTCTTTTCCTTGCCCAGGCAGAGAAAAAAAAAAAAAGATATCCTTCTGAGATGAGCACTAAAGTCTCAAGTTTTCAAAGGTTTGCATAACAAACAAGAGACACATTGTGGGTTGCATCTTGACTTTGAAGGCTTGCCACTGTCAACTGAAAGAAAATGGCAAGGTTTAAAGCCTTAACCAAGTTCACAAGGAAAATATTTGGACTCAAAGTTTTGGAAAGTTTTCTCTCTTTGAAGTAGTTTTGTCATGTGTTACCAATGTGAACTTTATTGCCCTTGAAACGTTTTTTTTTTTGAAGCAAATAGCAACTAGTGACACTTGAGGAAAATCTTGAGTCAACAACCATCTCCTGGTGGCTTCAGCTTTGTAGCAAATGCAGGCAAAAAGGGAATCTACAGAGGAGACCTTTAGTATTCGTAAATGAAGCCTGCCAAAACCTGCCCAAAATAGCATTCAAAGACCCTTTTAAGGTCATGGATCCTGAACAAAGCCAGAAGAGCACAAAAAAGGCAGAGGAAAGTCCAAGAAAGAGGCTTCCCAAAGGAGAGGCTTTTCAAGGCAGTATTTCAGCCACAACTACGTACCAGGGCAGCTCTGCTCCTTCCCCAGGAACTCCTCTCCGAGACATCATATCGCAGCAGCACTTTTCTGGCTCTTTGCCTGGCCCAAGAGAGGAGTCTCAGGAGAAGACAGGACATCAGAAGCAACCTAAGCCTTCCTCTTTTGAACATCCTCCCCACATCTCCCAGCTTCAGCAGCACTCCCTGTCACCAGCATTTATGTCTCCTGGGAAACCAGAGCATGTCCTCGAAGGTCCCACGTGGCAGCTAGTTGATCCAGTACGACCAGGTCCCTCTGGCTCCTTTTCATCACCTGGGCTTCACTCCCACCACGGCCAGCTCCTACCTTCCCACTCCCCCATCATTCCTGGAGAGGACATGCCATCTGTTCAAAAGGTCTATATCCCTCGCCCTTCCCAGGTTTCCTTAAAACAAGCTGAGGAAGTGCACAAGAAGGAGAAGAAACCTCAGAAACCAGGCAAATACATCTGCCAGTACTGCAGCAGGCCCTGTGCAAAGCCAAGTGTGCTCCAGAAGCATATCAGGTCCCACACGGGGGAGAGGCCATACCCTTGCATTCCATGTGGCTTTTCTTTTAAGACTAAGAGTAATTTGTATAAACATAGGAAGTCTCATGCTCATCGAATAAAAGCTGGGCTGGCCTCAGGGATTGGAGCAGAGATGTATCCGTCGAGCTTGGAGATGGAGAGGATTGGTGGGGAGGAGTTTGAAGAGCCAACAGAAGGAGAAAGCACAGATTCAGAGGAGGAAACAGGCACCATGGCAGGCCATTCGGTTGAACTCTCCCCCCGGCAGAAGCACACCCTGTTGTCCAGCAGTTTGCTGAGTGGAGGGAGCCAAGGCTCCAGCCATGAGCGGTGTTCATTGTCTCATTCCAGTATGTCCCAGTCCCTTGAGGACAGCACCCAGTTCGTGGAGCCATCAGCAGACCACGCTCTGAGCCATAAACCCGAGGACACCCACACCATCAAGCAGAAGCTCGCGCTGCGCCTGAGCGAACGCAAGAAGGTCATAGATGAACAAGCTTTCCTGAGCCCTGGCAGCAAAGGGAGCACTGAGTCAGGCTACTTCTCCAGGTCTGAGAGTGCAGAGCAGCAGATCAGCCCCCCAAATACTAACGCAAAGTCTTACGCAGAAATCATCTTTGGGAAATGTGGGAGAATTGGGCAAAGGACTTCAGCATTGGCTGCAAACACCACCCAGGGGTTTCCACACCTGTCCACTGAGGAGAAACCTAGCATGGTCCCCTTATCTGTGCCTAGAACACAGGTGATCGAACACATCACTAAGCTAATTACCATTAATGAAGCTGTTGTAGACACCAGTGAAATAGATAGTGTTAAGCCTAGAAGAAGCTCTTTATCTAGACGTAGCAGCATCGAATCTCCAAAGTCTGGTGTATATAGAGAACCATTTCAGTTCGATATCAAGTCTGGCTCCAGTAGCCAGTTGGATGCAGCCAAAGTGTTGGCATCCCATGGTGAAAAAATGAAGCCTGAACAATCATTGTTGTCACTTCAGCAATCCCACAGTGCCACAGAGACAGTGCCTCTCCTAAGAAGCCACTCAATGCCTTCTGCTGCATGCACTATAAGCTCCCCACACACCTTTAGAGGTAGCTACTCATTCGATGACCACATCATGGAGCCTGAAGTCTTAAGCCGCAGTCAAGCGTTTTCTTCCCATCCTCGAATGCTAAAACGACAACCAGCGATTGAGCTCCCTTTGGGAGTGGAATATGTCTCGGAGGAGGTTAGCTCTGCAAACAAAGAGACTGTTTCCAAAGCTCCTGAGGAGCCTGAAGCCAAGGAAAGCGATCTAACCAAAAAGTCACGGAAGGGGCCGAAGGCGAAAGGTTTCATGTACGAGTGTAACGTGTGTGGTGCTCGGTACAAGAAAAGGGACAACTATGAAGCCCATAAGAAGTATTACTGCTCAGAACTGCAGCTCTCAAAGCCTCGCTCTTCCACCTCCCATACCTCCTCAGAGCCTGAGAAAAGTGCTGCAGAGCCTGACACGTGGCCCCAGATGATGCATTACAAGCTGGGGAGCACTTTAGAGCTCACCCCGCTCCGGAAAAGACGGAAGGAGAAGAGTCTTGGTGATGACGAGGAGCCTCCAGCTTTCGAGTTGTCTGACACCCCCTCCTCCAGTGCTGGGCCAGGGCCTCAGTTCACAAACCCAGCATCATCTGATGTGGCTTTGAACCTAACCCGTGAATCCCTGAAGTCACCAGCAGAGTCAGGTAAATCTGCACCTCCTGACGTCAGTGCCACCTTCCAGCCCAGGAACACCAAACCTGCTTCGAGCCTGGAGGGCAAAGAGAGGAGAACAACCTCCAAGGAGATCTCTGTCATCCAGCACACGAGCTCCTTTGAGAAGTCTGACTCCCTCGAGCAGGTGAGCAGCTTGGAAGAAGACAAACCCTTGGCACAGTACTCAGCTCAGCCCACTGCCCAGCACAGCCGCCCAACTCACTCCCTGCAGCCCAAGCTGGTGCGTCAGCCCAACATCCAGGTGCCAGAGATTCTGGTCACAGAAGAGCCTGACAGACCAGAAACAGAGCCAGAGCCTCCTCCAAAAGAGCCAGAGAAAACAGAGGAGTTTCAGTGGCCTCAGAGGAGCCAAACCCTTTCCCAGCTCCCTGCAGAGAAGCTGCCACCCAAAAAGAAGCGACTGCGGCTGGCAGAGATGGCTCAGTCCTCCGGAGAGTCCAGCTTTGAATCCGTCTCCCTCACCCGAAGCCCAAGCCAGGAGAGCAGCGTATCCCACGGCTCCAGCCACTCTGTCTCATTTGATCGTGATGATCACAAGGCAGAGCCAACCAGCCAACCCTCAGAATCCCACCCAAAGCCTCCTGGCTCCCATATGCTGATGGTACCAAGCCACCATCATCATTCCAGGGAAATGAGGAGATCTGCTTCTGAGCAGACCCCCAACGTGTCCCACCCTTCCCAGATGTCCGAGACCCGCAGTAAATCCTTCGACTACGGGAGCTTGTCGTCCACTCCTGCCACAACCCCTGGACCCTCAACCTCCACAGCTCCACAGGAGAGGAGGAAATGCTTTCTGGTCCGGCAAGCTTCCCTCACCAGACACCCAGAGCACGAGCCAGACCCATCCCCACCGACAGGCTGGCCAGAGGCAGAAGATCCAGCTCCTTCGTCAAGTAAATCTCCTTCCACAAGTTTGCCCCATCAGCCAACCTCTTCATCCCCTTTGCCCTCTCATGGCACTTACCCAAGTGAAAAGAGTCAGCCAAAAGACAGCCCTGAGCCAACATACACTCCACCATACACAGAAGCTCTGCAGGTGTTCCACCATCCTGTCCCACAGCTAACCCTGCATGAGAAGCAGTTCATGGCCCCACAGGTTTCCATATTCCCCTACCAGCACCTCCTGCCTCAGCCAGGGCAGTCTGCAGAGCTCTTTGCTGCACACACAATGTCTGACATCCTCTCTGCTCAGTTTTCCATGCCTCAGATCCCTCCCTCCATCTTCCAGACCCCACCACTGCCTCTCCCTCAGACACTCATCCACCCAGGCTCTCTTCACATTGCTCCTCCCTTAATGTCTCACCCCGCTGAGGTGTCCTTCAGGCATCCTTCATTCCTTCCCGTGCACTACCCTGGCTCCTCTCCCATCCCTTCAGCCTTCTTTCTGCCTCTTCAGTCTCAATTTGCTCTCCACTTACCAGGTGACGCTGGGGGACACTTACCACAGCTCAAATCCACTTTGTTCCCAGCAGCAGGAACCTCCAGCCTTTCCCCGTGCTCAGAATATGACTCAGACAGTAGGTTATGCCCTCTGACCTGCACAACAAGCCCATCCGTGTCCGTGACCGTGACCCAGCTGGTCGTTCCTCCACGCTCAGAGCCGATGGTGTCACTGGTCGTCCCAGTTCGCATACAGACCAACATGCCATCCTACGGCAGCGCCATGTACACCACGCTCTCCCAGATCCTGGTCACTCAATCCCAGTGCAGTTCCTCTACTATTGTCCTCCCCAAATTCGATGATCACCAACCCAAGGGTGCCCTAGTGTGCAGTGCTGATGTTCATGGACTGGGGTTTGATCTGGCACAGATGATCACAGAGGATCAGAGAAGCATCTTCCAGAGCCCCTACCTGAGGGTACCCTTGCCCCTACCAGAGCGAAAAGGCTACATGCCACTCACCTGCCCATCAGACAGTGTTCTTGGCCTGGAAGGAGGCTCATCAACAGTTGGTGGAAGTAAAAGGATGCTCTCTCCAGCTGGCAGTTTGGAGCTGACCATGGAAACACAACAGCAAAAGAGAGTGAAAGAGGAGGAAGTGTCTGAAGCAGAAGAGAAGTTGGAAGTGGTGAAACCACCCAGTGCAATAGAGGAAGGCAAAAAGCAGGATAAACCTCACTATCTTGCAGAAAGCCAAGACAGGGTTGAGGTTGAAACACCACCTAGTTTGTCCACAGAGCAGTCAGAGCCAAAGGAAATCCCAAGCAGTTCGCAGCAAGCTGTGTCCCATTCAGGTTCTCCAAGCTTTGAGGCACTGGAGGAGTATGAGCAGCCAACTGGCAAGCAGTTCCTCAGCAAGGCACCTTTGCAACCTGTGAAGAAAGAAGACTCCAAAGAGCAGGGGGAGCAATCTCCACCCAACCCTGCAAGCACTGCCCCTCTGCCTGAGGGCACTCCCAGTGCAATGAAGTCTCGAGAAGGTACAGACACCAAGAAGGTACTTCAGTTTCCAAGTCTCCACACAACCACTAATGTCAGTTGGTGCTATTTAAACTACATAAAGCCAAATCATATCCAGCAAGTGGATCGAAGGTCTTCGGTGTATGCCAGCTGGTGTGTTAGCTTGTATAATCCCAACCTTCCAGGTATCTCCACTAAAGCAGCCCTGTCCCTCCTGAGGTCCAAGCAGAAGGTGAGCAAGGAAACCTACACCATGGCTACTGCTCCACGCCCAGAGGCAGGCAGGCTTGTCCCATCCAGCTCCAGGAAGCCAAAAATGACAGAGGTAATGCAATCCTATCTATTTCTCCTCATCCATTTGGATACATGGGAAGAGGGGGACGAGGGATGGGGAATTGCTGTTCTTAGTTTGATAGGAGTTTATTCCTCCCTCCCTGGGCCTGGGAAACACTTGTTCTCAGTGAAGCTGTTAGAGTGAAGAAGCTAAACCCCAAGTGTAAGCAAACCCCAGACAGAGCAAGCAAGTTCCAAGGCAATGGGCCGTGGTTCTTACCTTGTAATCGAAAGAGCATGTGGGAACCACCACCTCCCCATGAACCACCACTCAAGCACAAAGGATTAGACTTCATTTGCATTTGTCTTGCTCTTTCCAATAGCTTTACAACTTCTTTTTTTTGAAGAAGCTAAACCCCAAGTGTAAGCAAACCCCAGACAGAGCAAGCAAGTTCCAAGGCAATGGGCCGTGGTTCTTACCTTGTAATCGAAAGAGCATGTGGGAACCACCACCTCCCCATGAACCACCACTCAAGCACAAAGGATTAGACTTCATTTGCATTTGTCTTGCTCTTTCCAATAGCTTTACAACTTCTTTTTTTTGCTAAATGCTAATTCCCTACTTTGCATGTTCTAAATGGAAAAGGATTACCTTGAGGAAATGGGATTCTGTCTGGTTGTGCATCCACTCATCTCCCGCTAACAAACACGGAAAGTCATGCTTAGAAGTGCTTCAAAATATTAAAGGCAGATTTGCAAGTGGATTTAAGCCCCTGAAGAAGAATCAAGGCCTGCAGTGATGTTTATGAAGGGCCTCAGTGGGTCAGACACAGAGTCTGTTAGTCACCTGTGTCCTTTGGTCCATTTAATGTCCTTAGCTGCTTCTCCAGGTAGCTAAGGATGTTTTATGCCTGGTTTTCAGAGGTAACAGGAGCAAAGCAAAGAGGGCAGAGCTCACCAAAGGCATTGGCCACGTGGGCACGGAAGCCTTTAAGACACTGCTGTGAGTGCCTAATGTTATGTATCTCATTTTGAGGCCAGACTTTACCCCTCTTGGTTACTGCTTCAACATACAGATCCCTTTAATCCAGCTCATGTTCATGGGAGATTAGCAAAGAGAATTGCTCTAACGATTTGGCAATTTGATATTCATCTCAAGTCAATTTCTATTGATGGATTATTCATTTTATTTCTGTATCATGAAATGAACTCTGAATATTAAATTTATCTTAATCACTGCTGCAGCTGCTGCTTATAAATATGTCTTAAAATACACAGTAGAGTCACTTTGAGTCAATAAATCTTTCTTTCTAGTCAGCATTTCCATCATTCTTCTGCAGAAATCCACCAGACAGATTTTTCCAGGGACGCAGGGGCAGATAATTACCTGAGCAGTGCAATAACCATATTCATGCTTGATGTTTCTGCACTATTTTTCCAAGGATTCTAGCTGAATGGGGTGGCACCATCCTTGATTTCACTCTCTAACAGAAGTGCCTGTGCTTCTCTGAGCTTTGCTCTTTGCCATGGTGCTAAAATGCACACCAAGAGTGTGTTCCAGAAACAGGAGCCCCTCAAGCCCTGGGTGAAAGGTTAAACTCTAGGCAGGAATGGTTCAGCCCTTAGTCATCAAAATACATATTTCACTGCCTGTATTTGCTACAGAGACTCCTAACCCTTTTAGACGAAGCCTTAGGTGGTGCAAGTTGAGGTTTTCCTAGTACAAGTTGCAAAAGGAAGAGTTTGACCTGCCAAATCCACCTAGAAAAGGCTGGAGCCTAAATCCAACATCACTACCTGCAGAGTGCAGGAGGTTTGATGAAATGATGCTAATTCCAATGGAGATAAATTGAATTCCTGCCAAGCAGAGAAAGACTTTTTCATCAGTGGGTGTGAAATCCTCAGCCGAGTCTGTAAAACACACATGTGTGGCACAGAGCAGGTTCCTCAGGAAGAGGTGATGAACAGGACATGCAACAATCCAAGGTTGAAAGTTCAACCTTCCCTTTGCTCTAGCTATTTCCCTTCCATATTTCCTTCTTTGTGTACCTCCAAGTTGCCAGTCAGCACAGCAGAAGATGTAAAAAAGCTCTCCTATTTTGTACAATTCTGCATGCAGCAAGAGTAGTCCTGTATATGCTGTCTAGATTCTTGGCTTGGGCTTGATATTCCCAGTGGGATTTGCTGAGCAGATAATTCTGGAGTCACTGGAGGCTCCAGCATGCATGTAGGGATGGCTAATGACACTGTATTGGGCTTGCACATTTTGTAAATTCCACAAGATTGTAAAAGGGGATAGTAGTGACTGTATGATTTTGGCTCTCTGGTGCCTTTCATCTGTCTATGTTTTGTGCTTTAAGTTGCAATAAATAAACCTTGTGCTACATCTAGAA